CTCTCTCTCTCTCTCTCTCTCTCTCTCTCTCTCTCTCTCTCTCTCTCTCTCTCTCTCTCTCTCTCTCTCTCTCTCTCTCTCTCGGCACTAGGTTTGAGGTTCTTCGGTCATGTTCGCGCTCCTCCTGACGTTCATACACCGCTCACAACCCAGCACCGAATACGATCAGCGTCATGGCACGTGACAACAAATCCCAAACAAAACTGGGGCACGACAGGCCATCTTTGTGGTCGTCGTGACACGTGAAACTTCCCTAAAGGTAAGGTGATTTCGCGCTATGCAACATGAAAACACCCAACCCTGGTGAATATGCATCACGCTGGGCCACTAGACAAACGTGAGAGCTACTCCAGGCGGTTTGTTGTTACCTTTGGGTTCCAGCACATAATTCCAGAGTACACAAAACTTCGTCACCCAAGTGGGGAAGCGCTTCCAAAACGAAAGGAACAAGCAAACATTGCCGAGCGCGTTTGACGGATGGAACGCAGAAAGCTGACTTGAAGGTGCTCTTCGTTGGTTGGATTCTGGGTAGGCTCCTGTGTCGCCCCGCACCAGCCCCACGCAAGTCGGTCGCTAGCAGTGGCCGCGAGTATTATGCATCATTCGCGACCTTTCTTACGAATCTTGCCTGGGAACGTGGGCGGGGTTCCCCTGATATCCACCAACCCATACATACCAAGAACGCGAGTAGGGTAGGGGCGCAACACTATACCTCTAGTAGTCGTGTTCGAACTACAAAAGCACACGGGTCGCCCCGTCACCGTCAGCGTTGGCGGCGAGCTATCCCTGCTCGGTGCACACACATCGACTGCTCAGTTTCAGGGGTGAGCCTTTCTTACCGGTGGGACTTCTATGATGCAGTCCCCGCTCTCGGCTTCTTCGTACCCCAGGATGTTGTCCAGGGTGAGGGGTTCCGTCGATATCATCAAGACAGGTGCTGAGCGGGGCAACGCCGTGGAGTACAACAAAGTTCGGCATGAAACAGGCGGGGGTCAGGGATGCTTGACACAAGCACTGCCATCACCATTACTTCGCACGCTGGTAGGATTCGTCAAAGATAAAGCCGCTCGGCTCGACCGGCTTTGTCCAATTACGCGGCTCTACCAGCCATGCAATACGAGTTTCGGGCAACCTCCAGCAGAGGGCCCCGTCGTTTTTTCGCAATCGACGGCACCAACTACCACATTGGAAACAAAGAGCAAAGCCATGCCCGTATTTTTCCCTTGCCCCCACCCAAAAGCGACGTCAATTCAAGTTATCTTCAACGGGTACTGAAGCACACACCGGTGTCACCGCCAGCGTAGATCGAGCAGTCATGGAAAACTATTCCGGACGATGCACCGGTGATCACTATGCTTGCCGCTTGATCTCCACCGGTAGGGGGCAAGAATACCGGTGTTGGGACTTCGTAGACGTTTGACGCTCCCCCCTGGAGAACCACGTTGTTGCTGTCCTCGATTCGCAGCCCCGCGACTTCCTGCGAGAGACGATTGTGATCTGCGAATTGGTCGACTACGTCTTCACTATGTTGGTGCTGATGGGATGTCGTTTCCTGTCATCGGGGGCGAAACCGAAACCCCACCTTGCTATTTTCTGGGATGAGTTCCGGGTGGGAACGAGGAGGGCGTGTGAAACGTAATATATTCTCCGTCAGTGACGCCCATGGGAATGTACGGTCGTAGCCCCTTGGAACATACGGTCGACAGTTGCAATTCGGCCTTTCGATGCTGTCGCGATAACACGATAATGCATGTCATCGAAGCTGGACTACCCGGAAACGATGTTATCCTAGAAGAAGATTTGCTAACGTCGTCACTGTGAGATTTAAATGGCGCGGACCGGACCAGAAGCACAACACGAACAGGCGGAGGATGTCGTCTCTGATGCTTCCCTTGCGACGCCCTTCGCATGTTTCGGAGAAATACATTCCGGTCATTCTGAAGGAGGGAAGCTGGAGAGCACGGGGGTTTAGGTCATTCGTTGGTGTTGCGGACGGCAGAAAGTGTTCACATTCAAACTATGTGAAATCAAGATTCAAAAAGCAACAACAAACAGTCGCTCACGGGAATCCCCTCGAAATGGAAGTCGACGACACCAGTGACCTCCATGAAGTTCCCCGTCTCGTACTCGCCGTCCCTGATGACGGACACCCTGGAGCAAACGGGGAGGAATCATAACGCCATAGTTTTCACTCCTTGGTCCGCGGTTCTGGCTGTTTTCTGGGCTGAGGCCTACAGTAGGAGGCGTACGAGACTCCTACCGAACGTTCCTCTAGCGCATTTTGTAAGTGGATGACGGCGTTAACCACATGCAGTATGTAGTCCCACGGCATGCTCTAGAGGAGGAAGGGTTTCCCGACGATGCCGCATCCAAAGAAGGCAGCTCCTTAGCGTATGATATAATTTTTTTAAGAACGGCAGAGGGGTACATTTCAGCGTCTTACGAGATGTTCTTGGAGTCGACGAATCGCGCGGCGCCCGTGCGGGCCTGGTGGCAGTCGATTTCAGCAAGCTTGAGGTCCTGTACACGATTAGGCAAGAGCACAGGAACAGATCGAATTCAGTCTTTAACAACACGACGGCGGCAGGAAAACCGTTAAGATACATCGTTCGCTCAGGAAAGAACAGAAACCCTGAAAGAATGTAGACATCGTTTGCCTGAGGTCCATGGGCTCCTCTTCGCTACTTGTCATCCAACCGCCGTCGTCGTTCGAAGAAATTCTGCGGTGCGAACAGAAACAGGTACTGGTTGTGACAAACTGAGCTGGGACAACACAAGGTACAGTGCCTCGACCAATGCCCCGACAACGTGAAGGGTGACTGGGTGAAGATCTCGGTGTAATCTTTTCGGACGTTGGTCGTTCAACCTCGCCGACTTCCCCATCTATGGAGGTACGGGGCAATTGACTTCAACTGTGCCCACGGGCGCTATCTACTATGCGAAATACCGGAGAAAGTGGCTGTGGAAGTGACCTCCTCCATCGAACCAAAGTAGTCGATAGATTTCCACGTGGCTGTCTCGCTTCGCATCTCAGTACAACAAGCAACTTGGAAGCCTGAATCGCATCGCTTGTGCTTTGATTGGCATGCGTCGACTACAGAAGGAGTATTCACAGCAGAACGGAGCCATAATCGAAAATCACGAGCGTTTTGTGCTTGTGGAGCTTGCCCAGTGTCCGGCGCGAAGTTTAGCACGTATCGGATAAGTGAGCGTAAGCCAGCCAACGACCTCGCAACGAGCGACGGATGCGTACTGCACATCACTGTCCTTGATTACAGTGAATAGTCTCGCCAAGATTGTGTGCTATGCAAAGCACCACCAGGGAGCTCAACAAGCGATAGGAGGGTACGTGTCGTACTTGGCACTCTCTGCTGTGGTAACCTGCCGCAGGTAAACATAGGATCAATGAAAACGTCAAAGGTCGCTTGTTCCCCAGCTTGCTGCCACGGAGGAGTGATCGTGGAGAGCTGCTACTATAACGCCGCACCTGTGAGCCCCGGACGTCCAAACAAAGGTTTCCTAATGTTCCGGGAGTGATATCTCCTGTCATGGACGTCTTGTGCTCGATGTAGACAGAATCCACCTCGCCGCCGGTCACTTGTAGCCAAGAAAAAATCGCGCGACACGTCGTGCACACGCATGGGTTTCATCGGTGGGCAGGAAGCTTGCAGTTGACGTCATTGTGGCATGAAACGCGGTTGAAACACATGTTCAGTTAATGCTTCCATGTGGACCCGCAAATTCCTCAGGTTTCAGGGTGTGGGGCAAGTCCCTGCAGCACACAGGGAGCACACCGGACATGCTTTGACCACACACTGCCATCGTGACGCGCGTGACGGACTGTGCATGAGGATTTTGAGTTTTGGCTGATTCATGGCGATAACGCGACAACAAGCACATCGACGGCCACGGCACCATTCTCCGGACGCTTCCTCTGTTGGATCACAATTTAGCACAGTAACCCGTGAGGCGTCTAGGCGAACCCTTCCTGTGACAAAGGCATAGAAATGGCACAGGATGCCACTCTGTCATGACATCGGCTCGGGTGAGCCGTACCGTACCTCCATCGATCACGATCACGGCGTCTTCCAGGCTGGTGTGGTTGTGTAGCACGAGATATGTTCTGCTGGGCTCATTGTACGAGTAGTCCCCGCCCGACAAAGTCACCCCGCTCTTCAAGAAAACAGGCCCGTCCAAAAAGTAGTGCCCGTTCTTCAAGCTGATCTGATGACGAAGGTGGTTCGGTTGGGCCGGGGTGTGTAGCAGCGGGGCAACGGTGTCAAACCGTTTCGCTTGCAGGTCAATCGACAGGGGAAAAGCGCGCAGCGTACCAGAAACTATTGCAATATAACCCGGAACTGTGTGGGCGAAGCACCTGAAACCGCTGTAACCTACAATTTTCGCCACATTATTGTCATAGAACTTGTGTGTACTGACGAAAGTCTGAAACGCTAAGATCGCAATATTTCAAAGGGATTCCGGGGTGGAGCGCTGCAAATATTTGGCGAATTGTTGCGTCCGGGCAGCCCTCGCGTTTCTTGGCGTGGGGGCGTTTCACCACCGCAAAAGGAGCAGGAGAGCGTTGTGAGCGTGCACAACTAGGCCCCGAATGGCGTGTGGTTTGCAAGGAAAGCAGTTGTAGAGGAAAGTAGGGGGGGGGGGGGA